AACTGTGTGTCCGATTTTCGATTCAACGGGGGGTTCCCGTTGAAAAGTTCAACGGCCATTGAACCCCCGTTACAACGCCGTGCTACAGCGCGTTAGAACGCGGTACAACTCCCTTCCTACCAATTTCCTCTCTCACGGATCGGGAGCTAGATACACCATGTGGCGGTGTGAGAGGAAACACGTGACGCGTGGGAGTTGATACAAGAAGCCGCGCGGTGTGCAAGACCCAACGTCGACCTGATGCAGGGGTAGGGGACAACAGGACGAGCTAGCGTACGAAGGATGGTGAAAGCCTCTACCACCGATCCTAGCTCTGTTCGTTACTGCCTCCCAGTCTCCTCGACCCGATCTCCCAGGTCTCTGTCCTTCTCGACTGCCCTCCTACCCCGCGTGCACTGACGTTCAATGTTGTTCCCCGATACCCCCTCTCCCTTCCTACCAATTTCCTCTCTCACGACCATAGAAAAAGAACTCAAGCCACAGAAAGGACACTAGCCTGAAGCGACCCGCGGACGGCAGGGCCCGGCCACCAGGAATCGCACAGGCGACGGGAGATGGCGGCTCCATCGGCGACCCATCACCCGCTGACATGAGCATCGGTGCCCCCCGGCGAGGTAAGAGCCAGAGTGGTTTCGTCCACGTGGCAAGCAGCCAGTGCGCTGACGCCAGCGTTGAAGCCCGCGTTGAAGAAGGATCGGTCGAAGTGGCGACTCGGAAGAAAGGGGAGACGTCGAAAACTGGCAACTAAGCAAAGCCGGAGGAGAGGACCGAAGGAAGAACTGTCCACAGGACCTGGGTCATGTCGGAAGTGAGGGGACATATGGCTGGATGTGGCTGGAGAAACTGAAGACGGTGTGAGAAAGAAACGGGGGCGTTCTGCCGCATACGATCATTGTTAAGAGAAACAACCAGCTGCGAGAATGAGACAAGGTTTTGCCCGGCCCTATGCGACTGCCGGTTGAAGACGCAGCGGCATGAGTGAGTACGACTGCAGAAAGCAGATACGCGAGTGAAGGGAAGGAACACAGAACACGGGAGGAGGGGTTAAGTGTGGATGGCAGTTGGGACAAGGGGCGGAGCCATAGACAAAGGGCTAAGAAGAAAGGATAATATTGGAAGACGAGGCGGGTGTGGGAGACTGAATAGTAAGGCCGAGTTTAGGGAAGAGATCGGGAGCTAGATACACCACGTGGCGGTGTGAGAGGAAACGCGTGACGCGTGAGAGTTGATACATGAAGACTCGCGATGTGCAAGACCCAACGTCGACCTGATGCAGGGGTAGGGGACAACAGGACGAGCTGGCGTACGAAGGATGGTGAAAGCCTCTACCACCGATCCCAGCTCTGTTCGTTACCGCCTCCCAGTCTCCTCGACCCGATCTCCCAGGTCTCTGTCCTTCTCGACCCGCTCTTCACTCCCCGCCGTCGTTGCTGTGCTCGTTGCTTCCTCTTGCTCTCCACTGCCCTCCTACCCAGCGTGCACTGATGTTCAATGTTGTTCCCCGATACCCCCTCTCCCTTCCTACCAATTTCCTCACTCACGACCATAGAAACCGACGCCCCCTCATAATCACGTCACTCGTGATGCTTCAGATACATATCCATGGTTGCATGACCTCTGAAAAGTAGGAAACATTACGCCACTCGGAATGCCCTTCATCGAAAATTACGAATAAAAAAAGTAAAATAACGAAGGGTTATCCTGATTAACACAACTATCTGCTGCATGTCCACGTGTGCATGGTCTGCGTAAAAGTCAGATTGACCAAAGAATGTGTGGGGTGTGTTGCGTAGCATCAAATCGGCTCATATGCTTCGCATCACGGATGGTGAGGCATCTACTACCGACTGATTGTAGCATGGCGAACGGACGTAGGGACAAACATCTCCCCCTCCCCCACACACATCCGCCAAACAACTGACCAAACGTAGCTGCCATGGCAGAAGATCCTACCCCTGTCGTGCAGACGGGAGCCAAGGGGCCGACAAAAACGGCCCACACGGCGGCCTCGCCCCCTCTCCCCCCGGGAGACAAAACTGGAAACACGAAAGCAGATGCTTCTCCCCCGACTGCCAATGCACAAGGGGGCACACAAGCAGACAATACAACAACAAAGCAAGGGGTAAAGAAGGACACATGGAAGGATATAGAGGCAGCATACGGTCGGCCCCCGACGGACAGTCCGTCTACCTCGAGAGATTGGAAAGTATCGCCGGCCCAACTGCTGAAAGCTCTCTCGGCCCCTGCGCAATCTGAAGCACATAGATCAGCTACCCTTGGCTCTATAGCCCCTCTCAAGAGTCACCTTATCCAACAACTGTATGTGGAACCTGACAGGAAATTCCAAGTCAAAGATGGGTATATCTACCCGCATTCGGTCTTCCCGCCTCAAGCCAGGACCATCAGGGATGCGATCTATGCGCACAAAGCAGTACACTTCAAATTCCAGCCCCAATATACGGGGCAGACAATTAATGATAAGATCAAATGGATCACTGACAAGCTCCATAAAACCCGACAGAAAGTTGGTCCACGATCACTTCCTGATTGAGGTGGAGAGCCCGGAGTGTATCACAGTGGTTGCCTTGTACTCCACAGATAAGCATCTCCTCCTCAAAAGCAAACCCCTGCTCTTCAAAGGTAAATCAGTGCAGGTGGCGCCGTGGTCCCCAGTCAATCCACAATCCAGTGATGAGCGAAGGGAGTACCTGATGAAATCTAACTTCTGGGTTGAGTTCAGGTTCGCCCCTCTAAGTGTGCAGGGGGCGATCCTCACAGACCTGGAAAACATCACTCATGTTAAAGGCGATATCACGGACCTGCCACAATTCCTGGGAAAGCGGGATGACTCCCTATTGGTGGCAATGGAGTGGGACGAGACATTTCCATTCTTCCTAAATGAAGAATGGAGATACTCTCACTAGGGCAGAGAATTCTCCGTACCGGTTAGTCACACGCAAGATCCGTAATGCTATGCCTGTAAAACAAGAGGCCACCTATGCTCAGACGGCCGCTGCCCAAGCAACAAAACAAAAAGGATCAAGGGGCTAGTGGTCCCTCACCCTACGGATGAGGAGACATGGTATCCAGAAGAGAGGGAGCTGCATGGGTGGACTCTCAGAGCATATGCGGACGGCCGTCCGGGGAAATGGATATGGCGAGGGGAGGGCCAGTCGGCGACATATCCATCAGGAGCAGAGATAGCCCCACACAATGACCCCAAGCAAAAGGGCAAGATCGGTCAGACTCCCAGACCCGAAGGGCAGCCGAAGGGGAGGAGGGGCGCTGCCCGCACAAACTCTGCTAACAAGGGCATCAACATTATGTGTGGCCATGGCCAGGGAGAGGGGAGCAAGCCGCACCAGGTGTCGTCCTCTCCAACCCCTGCACCCTTTTCAACCCCAGGCCAGTGTTGCTCAGCCCCTGCCATATCGACAAGGTCCACCCCCCCCACACAAGACCTACAAACCAAAATATGAAAGGCAAGCAGGGACCGCGGCCTCTGCACCGCCGGGCTGCTCCACAATCAGCGACATCACGACAGTTCCATTGGATTGCCCGAGACCACCTGGAAAGGACAGGCAGGCCCCTGCCAGCCTGCAGGACCAACGGTCTGTTCCACTGGATTGCCCGAGACCACCTGGAAAGGACAGACAGGACCCGGCCAGCTTGCAGGAGCAACGGTCCGATGGTGATGACGCATCACTAGGGCTGGACTCAGGGCAAGGCCCTCGTAACCAACCAGTCCAACAAGCTGATCTCACTGACCCGAATTACTCCCTGGCACCGAAGGTGAACGCGACCGTTCGCCAACCAACACAGGGGTTGGATACACCGAAGGTGAATACGAGCGTTCACCAACCAACATAGGGGCTGGCTGCACAACACCCTCATCACAACCGACCGGGCCAGCAGGCAGGTCCGTCTGCTTCAACCAAAGACCAGACCCCAGCGGGGACGAGGCAGGAACACCACCCACCATGTCCACACATGAAGGGGTCACCCCCTCAGCACAAAGCTGAACCCCAAATGCAGCAGAGGGGGCCCCCCGATCAAACTGTTTCGGCAATATCCTCACAACCGGCCCTGCCCCCCCCGCTGCCCCCGGATCGCCTGCCTCACGAAGTCCCTATCCGTGGTGCTCTACTCACTGACGGAAGCAACCAGCCCCAGACCCCCGCGCCCTCGCAACAGCATCGACCATCAGATGAGACTCTACTCTGTCAGGACAACAACGATGACAAGCAGTTGAGCACCCAACCTGAGACTCGTCCACTCCGATCTGAAGTGTCGCCCCCCTCACCTACAGGGGGACTGGGACCGGGAAGGAAGGAGACAAAGAATGTCAAATTACTGAACCCGCACCAAATGTGGCAAAAAGCCAACTTCCTCCTGGCCAAAATCAAGGATGCGACCTTCTCCCAACCCCAGGATGCGCCAGTGTCGAAGTTGGAACAATGTGAGAATACAGGTCCTCACACGCAGTGGAAAGCAGGGGCTCCCTCAGAAGCTGGTTTGTTGGGACAGCTGGTTGTGTCACAAGAGATACCCAGGCAAGAGAAACTTCTCCCCGGGAAATTGCAGCTGCAGCCTTCGCAGCACCTCTCTCAACCCCCTGCACTACCGGATCGCCCCTCAGGCAGTGGAACCAAGGCTGATTCGCTGGTGGGGGGACCGGGACCACCTGGAAACAACGGGCAACCCTCAGCCGGACTGCAGGATCGTCGGTCTGGTGGTGACGACGCAACACAGGGGCTGGACTCAAAGTTTCAACAGGAACACCACCCACCACGCCCACACTCAGTGGAGCTACCCCCGCAACACAAAGTTGAACCTGAAATTCAATTGAGGGGGCCCACACTGCCCCATCCCCACCACCTGAGGGATGGGCCAGCCACCTCAAAACTCAGAGAGGTGACTTCCGAACTCACTGGGGAACGAAAGTTTGTGCTGCTCCCCTCTCCCCCGACCGCCACGGCTGCCGGGACCCCCCTTCGCCACAGCAAAGGATTGATAGAACGGGACGAAGACGAGCCGTCCCGCCACATGAAAGCTGATTCGGGACCTGGGGAAACGGAGCAGTTGCACGAATGACAACAGATGCAGCCGGACTGCCCCACAATAGGGGAGGGCTTGCCCCGACAAACCGACGCAGACCACGGGAGCCGCCAGCATTGTTCGATGGACCATGACCAAAAGGAGATGACTACCATGCCTTGCACCCTGATGAAAAAATGCAAAAACAGCAAGACGGCAGCCAACCTCCCCTGCAGTTGCAGGATAGCCCCCAACAACAACCGCACCTGCCTCAACAACAACAACTGCAGCAACAACAGCTCATCCAGGAGCATCAGCAAAAACAGCTGCAGGATCAGCTGCATCACCAACAACAAACCCAGCTGCAACAACAACAACTTCATGACCAGCTGCAGCACCACCAACATCAGTTTCTTGGCCAGCTGCACCCATAGACGCAGTGGCAACAGGAACACGAGGTGCAGGCCCTCCAACAACTGCAATGGCAGCACAACCAACAGCAGGTCCAACAACAGGAGCTCCTTGCACACCACCAAGCCCGCATACACCTGTTACAGCAGACGCAAACACAGATCGCTCAGCAACATGAGCAGCGCCTCTGGCAACAAAGGGAATGCGAGGAACAACTACAACACCTTCTCAAAGCACAGCTGGCGCAGTACCATCACCAGCAGTACTAGGAGAGACTGATACAGCAACAACAGATCCTCCAGCACCTACAGTTGCAATGGCAACAACAGTTGTGCTGTCAGCAGCAGCACGTGTTGCAGCAACAACAACAACAACTTAATACCTTCTGGCAACAAGAAGCGGAAAGACAACGGGCACAGGAATGTCAATTGCCATATCTGCCAGAGCCCCCTCCATTGTACTCCCCTCCTGGTATGACGAGGGCCAGAAGTCGCAAGACATGGACACTTCGCCCCCCCCCCCCCCCCCCCCCCCCCCCCCGACCGGCCACAGTTGGACCAACGGCAGGAGCAACAGGGGGATGTGGAGATGGAGATGGAGGTCGTCCCCCCGGGCTCGCCCCCGCCAATGACGAAGTCCAGCAGAAACTGGCCTTCTTGACAGACTGGACATTATCCAAGATTTTCTCGATGGCAGAGGACAAGAATGGACAAGACTTGGACAACATATACTGGGGGGAAGCCAAAAGAGTATTGATGTACAGCCCCAGGGTGCTGGTTACTGTCGAAAAATACAAGACTGTGCCAGCGATTGGCTGGATGGATGTGGGGGCTGCCATTGCCCTGGTGGTCAACGATTTTCTTGACAAAATTGAGAACTATGCCAATTCCCACTTCAAAGGAAAAGATTTTGGTGAAGCCCAATCACGACCACTGCACCCGGTCGATGCGTTCCTTCACGAAGGTCTGGCTTGGCCCAAGACACTGGTACACGAATTGTGCACCACATTGCATACCTTACCGGAATCCGGGGGAGATAGCGAAGTCCACTGGTGGAGCCTCAGCAGAACGATCAGCAACAGGAGCTCATGCGGTCGGAGAACGAAAACGTGACCCGTGATCTCGCCCGCTTAAGTCCCTCAGATGCTCCTCCTCGGGCCCGGGACAAGGGGATTGAAATCATCCATGATGAAGACGGCACTACTCTCTCCCACTCAGACGAAGAGTCGCCCCCTGACATCGGCCCAACCAAACTTAGGAAGCTGGTCAGACTGCAAGAAGATGACAGCACCCCGGTGTCAATGCCACCGGGAGTGGTCATCTTTCCCATCAGGCGGGAGAAGGAAGACAGGCAGTGGATCCTGCGGTTGGGTCCCCCGACACACCGACCGCACCAGTCCCCACAACCAAAGACGATCCCATCCCTCTCAGGGCTTACCGTGGTGTGTTGGGGGCTGTGCTCCCCGAAAATCTCTCCTTCCCTAAGGGAATAATCCCGGTTCTACTGCTGCTTGGCCCCAAAACGAGGGTGCACAAAACCAAAACAGACCCGGGGTGGTTCAACCACCACCAACTGATGGAACTGCATACTACTCGGTTCATGACTAACGGGGCCTGGACTGCTAGTAGAGTCCTTGCCTTCATGCAGGCCTTTTTGGAAGATAACGTGCTTGATAAGCACAACCAGTGGGATGACCCACAAGGTATGCGCCCCGTTAAAATCATAGCCTGAGCTCCGTTGCCTGTAACGGAGAGTGGTCGACCTATCCCATCATAGGAATGAAGCACACTGTAGTGAACGACCCCCTATCAGGTCGGTCTTCTGACACGCCCCCGCCCCCCGCCCCCCGCCCCCCGCCCCCCGCTTGGGGAATAGCGCTGTCTTCCACGCCTCCCCGTGCCTCACCATCGCCCCCCCCCAGCTTGTCTGCCGCCCCCCGTCTCCTCCGGTCTTTCCAAGAGTTAGAAGGCCGCCCCAATGGGCAACCAAGCTGGCCCACGCAGATATTGATGTTCGTTCCCTCAATGTGAACGGTCTCATTCAAGCAACAATAAAAAAAAAAGATGCAATCTGGAACATGATTAAAAGCCCGGTCTCCGGAAAATGGCCCGATGCAGTGTGCATACAAGAGACACACTTACAAGACAACCCTGCACACGAGGCGAAGGCAAAAGTTGTGTGGCCTTACGCTGCCTTTTCGGCTCAGTCCACAGAGAGGGCATCAGCAGGCGTAGCGATCTGGCTCCCCCCCTCCTCGAAACTCAAACCTATCGGGGTGGAATATGATGACCGCCAAGGTAGGTGGGTTTGCCTCAAGGTAGCATATGAGGAAGAAGAGTTCTATCTGGCCAGCATTTATGCACCAAATGACCCCACGGCGAGGGCAGAATTTTGTTTTTCTCTTCACCAACTGCTCCCAGCTGATGCCCCGTTCGTTCTGGCTGGTGACTTCAACACTGCGCTCGACCCAGCGCTGGACCGCCGATCCGCATCTCAGCGTCAAAACCATGGGGACCGGCCGCAGGCCGCATTAGGGCCGGACGTGCTTATGCTCAAATAGTTTATGGCGAACCGGAAACTAGAGGATATGTATAGACTGTTGCACCCTGCCCAACGGGCATACACATGTCTCTCATCACGGGGCGAACAGGGTCACTCCAATTCACGCATTGACCTTACACTCGTGTCGAATGAATTGCAGGGTCTTGTCACCACAGCGGAAATAACATCAATCAGCCCCTGCAAATCTTTTGACCATCGTATGATCACACTGGGTCTCTCCTTCCACTCCCACATTAAGAGAGGGTCGGGGTTCTTCAAACTAAATACCTCCCTGCTTCCCCTGACGAGCTTTAAAGAGCATATCAACACATTTTGGGCATACTGGCAGACCCAGAAACCGGCAATAGGGGACTATGTGAAATGGTTCAATGAGGGAGTGGCACAGATGAGGGAAAGATCCAAAAGGTTCTCCATCCAGCACGCGAGGGACCACAAGGCCGTCCTCGAAAAATTGATGCAGAACCTTGAAGAGTGGGACGAGTAGTTAATGGGGGACCCTCTCCACTGTCCCACTTACGACAGGTTGCAAGAGGCCATAACCCACCTCCAAGACTACCTCGAAAAGCAGGCGCAAGCTTGGAGGATCCAAGTCAGGATCAAACGAGCGCAGACAGACGGCAGGGTTGTCGAGCCCCGACCCCGGGGCCCCGGCGGGGGTTCCGGGGCCCGGGGGTCGGCACCCCTGGCCCTAGGAAAGAAAAAAAATATATATAGGGGTGCGCAGCCGCAGCCTGCACCCCCTGGGCCAAACTACAATATTGCAGTTTTGGCCCAACCTCGGCCCCCCCCCGGGGCTACACCCCCCCCTCGTGAGCCCGGGGTAGTGCGGGCGCGGGGCCGGGGGCGGGGCCCAGCGGGGTGCGGGGCCGGGGTTGGCTTGCAGGGGGGGCGGGGGTGCAGGGTCGGGGCAGGGGCGGGGG